GTAATATTGGTTCTAGGCCCTTCTGCTTCATTGCATTAAGTTCATCATGTCACTCCCTTCTGGCCTGTAAGGTTTCTGCTGAGAAGTCTGATATCAACCTGATGGGTTTTCCTTTGTATGTGATCTTATTTCTGTCTCTGGCTGCTTTTAACAGTCTGTCCTTATCCTTGATCTCTTCCATTTTAATAACTATGTGTCTTGGTGTTGTCTTCCTTGGTTCCCTTGTGTTGGGAGATCTGTGGATCTCCATGGCCTGAGAGACTATCTCCTTCCCCAGATTGGGGACATTTTCAGCAATTACTTCCTCAAAGTCACTTTCTATCCCCTTTTCTCTCTCTTCTTCTTCTGGTTCCCCTATAATGCAAATATTTTTGTGTTTGGACTGGTCACACAGTTCTCTCAATATTCTTTGTTAGAGATCCTTTTTTCTCTCTGTGCCTCAGCTTCTTTGTATTCCTCTTTTGTATCCTCCATTGTGCTCTTCAATCATTGGATCTTCAACCGGAACTCATTCTGGAGTTGTTGAATATGTTTCCGTACTTCCATGAGCATGTTAGTAATTTTTATTTTCAACTCCCTTTCAGGAAGAGTCATGAGGTCCATGTCAGGTCTCTCCAGAGTTATATTAATTTCACTCTGAACCAGGTTCCTTTGGTGTTTCATATTTATATATGATGCCCTCTAGTGTCCAGAAACTCTACTCTCTCGAACTGCTCAGCCCCTGAAGCAATGTCAGGGGTTGCAGGGGAGTGGTATTGGTGCCTGGGGGGAGGAAAGAGCTGTTTCCTACTTCCTGGCTGCTATGCCTGTCTCCACTGCCTGAACTAGTGTGCCAAGCACACAGGTATAAGCCTCTATGCTTTGCATTTGTAGTTGCTGTAGACAGATCTTCCCTCTGGCTGGCCTAACACCAGGGTAGGGTTTGCTGGTTTGTGAGCCAGGTGGGGCTGACATGGAGAAAGGTGCAGTAGGCTGCCTATCATGGAGGGGGTCCTTGGAGCTGTGTAGCCAGCCAGGGAGCTTGAGCACCTGGAAATTGTGAAAGCTCCCAACCTGCTGGGCAGAGTGCACCCGGACAATTTTGTCTACCTGTCCTTTCTCCTGAGCAGTTAGCTCTGTGCAATCCTTCCCCCTTTAGCAGCCTTCTTCCTAAGGGCTTCCTTGTTAGTAAGTCTCTCAACTGCCTGCCTTTCTTTTGTCCCAGAGCAGTCAGATATGGATCCGTGCTTTCTACAAGTGGCTGGAATCTCAGTCTCTCCAGGACTTCTGCCTGTCTTAGCTTTCCAAACCCCTAATCACGAGAGTATCATGAAAGCACCATGAAATGTAGGTTTGTGCTCCCAGAGCAGATCTCCGGAGTTAGGTATTCAGCAGTCCAAGGCCTCCACTTCCTCCCTGCTCCGTTTCTCTTCCTCCTGCTCCATTTCTCTTCCTCCCATACCTTCCTTGGTACGTTCCCCTGTTCCGTGAGGTCTGCTCTTTTCTCCAAGTGTATGCTGCCTAGCGCAGTCCTCTTTCCTGTTGCTCTTCCAGGATTAGTTGTATTATATTTTCGTAGTATATGCGATTTTAGGAGGAAGCCTCTGTCTCACCTCTCATGCCGCCATCTTTAATCCTCTCTTCCTTTATTTTTAATATAGCTATTTTCCAAAGGTTCAAATTTTAATTTATACAATTTAAAATTCAAAAAGTGTGAAAGAATACACAGTAAAAAAGTTTTGCTCTCATTCCTCCCTGCTCTCCAGTTCTCCTGTCCATGAACAACCAGTGTCAACAATTTCCTTCCAGAGATACTCATGCATGTTCACACAGATAAACATATTTGTATTGTATTTTATACTTGTCACACCAAACTTATAACATTATTTATCTCTGGAAAGTAGGATAAGGAAGGCAGGGGAGGAAGTTTTCACTTCATTAGCATTTGAATTGTAAAAGGGGCTTGTATTGCTTTTCTTAAAATAATTTTTAACAGAACATTTTCTAAAAGAATGAAAAGCTGTTTGCAACAAAAAAGCATGGGCTTGAGAATCAGACAATCCTGGGTTTGAATCCACCTCTGACATGTATTTGTTGTGTGACCTTGACAGGTTAATTAACCTATCTGTATCTCAGTGTCCTCATTATATGTGTTCTATAGATGAAACTTACATTAGGGTCTTTGAAGGACTAAATGAGATCATGTATGTAAAGTGCTTATCGGAGGCCTGATACATAGTAAGTGCTTAAAAATTGGTGGCTCTTAAAAATAAAATGATCAAGTTGAAGATGAAAGATGGTGATGGTGGTAGTAATGATGGTGTGGTTATGTTCAGAAGCTAAGTAGGTTATAAGGAACCCTGAAGCACCTCGGGAGGCAGAGGAAGACAGGAAGATACTCAGAACAACAGACAGCAGCAGTTAAGAGCCAAGTACAGAATATGAACAGTATAAGAACAGAAGCGACAAAGTTGCTCTAACAGCCTTTTTCTAGAAAAAGGTGGTATTCAGATCCCAAAGGTGAGTGAGCACCTGGCTGGGAAGGGAAAAAGTAGTGTGATTCAGGAAAAGGAGTAGGGCAGATTCTGAAAGTAGCAGAGCTATCCTTCGGACTTGAGAACCTAGTTACTAAAGAGTAAGATTAAAGAGACTGTTGAGCATTGCCTTTGTCCAGAACCCATGATCAGACTCCTAGGGAAGAGCAAATTGAGAGTTCTAAGTGTGCAGTCTGAAGTGGCTATTGAAGACACAATGGGGCTATTTTCTCCTTCTCCACCAGTCTTTCTTGTGCTGTGTCTATTACCTCCTGCAGCTTCCAGAAGCTGCTGTTAAGTGAACCTAGAGAATCAAGTTATAGAAATATTTACAGACAATATGATACTGTGTCTGAGCTTTCAAAATAATCCAGTGTTTTGTGGGGACTGAGGTGTAGATGAAACAAGATTGGCTATGTTTTGATAATTGCTGAAACTTAGCTGGATGAAAAGTACATGGGAGTTTGTTACACTTTTATGTATTTGTATATGTTTGGCATTTTTCATAATTAGATGTTAATAAAAAGATCAGGATATATAGCTACCATTCATTGAGTTCCTGCTCTATGTCAGACTATCATAACTGTTGATGTATATTGTTTTATTTAGTCCTCACAACAACCCTGGAGGTGTTGTTATCCCTATTTTACTAATGTGGAAACTGAGGCCTGTAGAACTTAATTATATGATTAGCTACCATTGGGCACTTGCCACGTGTCAGTCGCTGCATTAGTTCATTTATTCCCCCCCAACCCTATGAAGAAGAAAACAGGTCAGTTTAGTGACAGCCAGTTCAGTGTAAACCAGTTCACCAAATGACTCTGCTGAATGTATCAAGTATACTGATTTACCAAAAACTTGTTTCTTTTTTAACTATAAGGTCATTTCAGCAGTTTAGACTGCTTAATGTTGTTTACCATCTATAACAGGATTATTTAAGCCATTTTTTAAATTCTTTCCACTTCCATTCTGTATTTTTAACAGCTCTTTTGAGGTATAATTTATATATCATACAATTTATCTGTTTTACATGCACAATTAAATGACTCAATAAAAAAGGATGTGCAACCATTGCCACAATCCACTTTTATCTCATTTCTGTCACCCCAGAAAGATCCCTCATGCCCACTTAGAGTCAGTCCTCGCTCTCTTCCCCAGGCCCAAGCAAACTACTAACCTACTTTCTATATAGATTCACATATATGGCACACAGTATGTAGTCTTTTGTGTCTCACTTCTTTCACTTAGCATAATATTTTTGAGATTCATCCATGATGCAGTATATATCATTAATTGCTTCCTTTTTATTGCTGAGTAGTATCCCATTATGCAGATATACCACATTTTGTTTATTGATTCACTAGTTGATGGTCGTTTAGATTGATTCCACTTTGGCTATTATGAATAGTGGTGCTGTGAGCATTTGAGTACAAGTTTTTGTGTGGACGTGTTTTCATTTCTCACTTAGTAAAATTGTAGGTCATGTTTAACTTTTTAAGAAATGGCCAAAGTTTATTCCAAAGTGTCTGTGCCATATTACATTCCCACCAGCAATTACGATCTCCATATACTGGCTAATACTTGTTATTGTGTCTTTTTTATTACATCCATTCTGATGGATGTAAAGTGGTATCTTGTTGTTGTTTGGTTTGCATTTCCCTAATGACTAATGATGTTGAGCATCTTCTCAGATTATTGTCCATTTGTATATTATCTTTAGAGAAATGTTTATTCAAAACTTTTGCTCATTTTTTAATTGTCTTGTCTTCTTATTGAGTTCTAAGAGTTATTTAAATATCTTGGATACAGATCCTTTCCCAGATAAATGATTTTTAAGATATTTCCTCCCAGTCTATGGCTTGTCTTTTTATTTTCTTAATGGTGTCTTTCGAAGCACAAACATTTTGAATTTTATCTAATCCCAGATAAAGAAGATATTTTCCTCTAGATGTTTTATAGCTTTTACATTTAGATCTATGATGTGATGCATTTTGGGTTAATTTTTTGTATAATATGAGATAAGAGTCCACATTTATTTCTTTGCATGTGCTACCAAGTTATTTCAGCACCATTTGTTGAAAAGACCATCCAATCCACACTGAATTGCCTCTGTAGCTTTGTCGGATATCAATCGGCCAGAAATTTAAGGATTTAGTTCTAGAAGCACAGCTCTCTTCCATTGATGTATATATCGTCCCTCATGCTAATATCACACTATCTTGGTTACTGTAGCTTTATAGCAGTAAAATTTGAAACAGCATAGTGTAAGTCCTCCAACTTCATCTTTTTCAGAATCATTTTGGCCATGCATGCCGAAGTCCTATGTATGCCCAAATATATTTTATTATCAGCATATTAAGTTCTACAAAAAAGCTAGCTGGATTTTGATAAGCCTTGCATTGAAACTTTAGATCAGTTTTGGGAAAAGTGCCATCTTATCAATATTGAGTGTGACTGTTTTTATGTTCTCATTCTCTTTCTCTCCAGTACCAAGAGGGTAAAAAACTTACCCAAGTCTCGGCGAGCCAAGATTGCAAAAAAGGCAGACAAAGCTAGGCAGGTGGCAGACCAGGTGCTGGAGGATAGATTTGACTTGGATTCAGATGATGAGCTGCAGATTGATGAGAGATTGGGGAAGGAGAAGGCAACCCTGATGATAAGACCAAGTGTGTATCTGTTTTCTTTCCCTTTCCTACCCTTCCCATTTTGCATTTGTTTTGGTTCTCTTGGTAGACTCAAGACCTTAGGCTTAAGCTTGTTGACATTGATTCACCAGCTCTTTAGGCCTCTATGTATCCTTTGCTCCAGAGATTCGTTTATAAGCTAATTCCTAATCTCCCTAAATGAGTCGTCTGTGGTCATTACTTTCAGGAAAATAGTAGTTTTATTTTCTTTCCCTTGGGTGTTTGGCTCACATGCTAATCTTAGCTCCATGATAAGTGCATTCCGTTGTTTTCTAGAATTTCCTCGAAAGTTGCCCCGTGCGAAGCCTTGCTCTGACCCCAACCGAGTTCGTGAACCAGGAGAAGTTGAGTTTGACATTGAGGTAGGAGCCTGTCCTGTATCCAGTCTTCTGCACATTCAGGTTACAGAGAAAGAAGAGGGATTGTCATTCCAGTTGGGGGAAAAAAAATACCCTGTGCATTCAGTTACTAAAATATATATTAAGGGAAAAATTGTGTGCTAAATGCTGCTGAGCATGTAAATTGAAGATTATAATTTAGTTGAAATATTTAAAAAGTCCTTTAATATAGAGTAGAATAAAAGGCAGTGTGATATAGCAGAAAGGGTATCTGATTTGGAATGTGACTGTGACATTGCAGAAATTATTTAACTTCATTGAGCCTTGGTTTCCTTATCTGTAAAATGGGAGTTTTAATACCTCACAAACATGCTGTAGAGATTAAGATGAAAGAATGAATATTCTGTTTAGAACGTGGTCTGTACTTGGTGGTCAGAAGATATTAGTATCAGGAGTGAGCCTGTCAACCCTGTACTGGGGCCTTACCATACCAACCCTGGGCAGTTGAGGTGATATCCTCTTTCCTAACAGGAGGACTATACAACAGATGAGGACATGATAGAAGAGGTTGAAGGCAAGCTTGGGAATGGGAGTGGAGCTGGTGGAATTCTTGATCTGCTCAAGGCCAGCAGGCAGGTGGGGGGACCTGACTATGCAGCTCTCACGTAAGTACTAGCTTTCATCTCCCCTTTCCAAGATAATCAGACAGTACCCCCACCCCCACCCCCACCCAAATGTCAGCAGATATTTATAAAGCCATTTGTCAGGGGGCAAAGAATTAGCCAGGCCATTTGGGCTACAAGAATAAAGTAGACATGAAATCTTTCCTGAGGAACTTAAGATCTGACAGAAAGAAGATGTATAGCCTTCAAGGGGAATCAGTTTTGGGTTCTTTGGGAGTTGGAAGAGGCATGGAAGAACTGGGCCTTTGCCGGGCCTTGTTAAAAAAAAAAAGGAAAGAATGCAGCATGGATGAACAGGGAGGTAGGTGCTTCCCTCTTGTTGCCATCTTTCCTGCTGTCTGTGGAGAGACTTGAAGCAAGAAGGATTGGCCTTTCATGGAAAGATAATACTATCATAATCCTTTAGTTTGATTTCCAATTTTTCACCTGGGATGGTTCTCTCTTCCTTCCTCCCTCCCTGACCTCTGCAACTCTTGTCCCTCCTCCCTGACTCCTCTGATGACTGATTTCCACTGACAACTTGAGAAATTCCCCTACATTTCTCATCTGTTCCTTGCAGCGAGGCCCCTGCCTCTCCCAGCACTCAGGAGGCCATCCAGGGCATGCTGTGCATGGCCAACCTGCAGTCCTCATTGTCCTCACCGGCTACCTCTAGCCTGCAGGCCTGGTGGACCGGAGCACAGGACCGAAGCAGTGGGAGCTCCAGCAGTGGGCTGGGCACAGTGTCTAGCAGTCCTGCTTCTTCCCAGCGCACCCCAGGGAAGCGGCCCATCAAGCGGCCAGCATACTGGAGAACAGAGAGTGAAGAGGAGGAAGAGAACGCCAGTCTGGATGAACAGGACAGCTTGGGAGCGTGCTTCAAGGATGCAGAGTATAGTAAGTGCAGCTGAGTAATTGGGTCCAGGCCAGCAGGGCTCTACCCAGCTCCAGTCTCAATCCCGGTCCCTATCCTGGACAGCCGGTAATGAGCAAAGGCCAGTCCTTACACCTGATGCTTGGTTTCTCTGAGCCATATTTTCTTAATCTGTAAAATGGGGATATCTCACAGTTTGATGAAAGAATTAGAGATGGTGCTTGTGTTGAGCATCTGGCACTGTGTCTTGCTCATGGAAGGCCCTCAAAAATGGTAGCCATTATAATTACCTATCATCCATTTTTAGCATGGTCCAACCTTTAGTGCTGGTTAACTCTTTTTTTCCCTCTTGCCTCTTTTACTTTCATTACCTGTGTCATTTGTGTTCTGTGTTGTTCAGTTTATCCCTTACAAAGGTATATGATGATGTTTCAGTGGGCTTTCTACATTTAAGAGATGACACCTTTTTTTAACTTAAGGTTTATTGAGTACTACAATATGTAGAGCACTTTTTTGTATAGTGTATCTGACTTTAATATGGGTTTTTAATATTATTTTAAAAAAAATAATGCTAATAGACCAAAATTAGACCAAGATAGAAGAAGCAAAAATTCCCTTTGACATTTCTCCTCTGCGGAAGGTTACCCAAAGGTAGACTTTGTTATCAGTTTGATGTATACCTTTCATTTTCTTGTGTTTACACCTATATGCAGACATAAATACAGGTACAGTTTTGTTTATAGTGTGTGTGGTTCTACCACTTACTTGGATATCTTTGAACATCACTATGTAGAGGTCTACTTCCTCAATATACTAAGATCTACCTGCTGCAGAGTAGTCTCTCACATAGATCATATGTTTGGCCATTCCCTACTGATTAACATTTAGGTTGTTTCTGATGTTTTAGTGTTACTAAAAATGCTGCAATGAAAACTCTTATAAATAACCCTTTGTGCCCATGTACCAATTAACATTTCTCTAGGGTAGCTAGCCCTGCTGGGTTGCAGTGTATGTACAAAATCAATGTTAACAGTGCCAAATTCCTCTCCAAAAGGGCCGGTGTTATGAGTAGTGTATGAGAAATGCCTGTTTCCCCATAGCCTTGCCAGTAGTGGATGTTATGAGCCTTTTCAATTTTTTCCAATCCTATGGCAGAAAATGGTGTCTTTCTTTGTTTGTTTGCTCTTTTTTATTGGTTTTCTGGGAATTATTTAGTCTTTAACCCATTTTTCTATTAGGATGCTTGTTTTTCTTAATGTTTTATAGGAGTTCATTATATATTCTAGATTGGTTGGAGTGTTTTTGTATATTCTGGAGATGTTGAAAAATATTTTCTTTTAGTCTGGTGCTTGTATTTTAATTTTATTTATGGTGTCTTTTGGCATATAGAAGATGTCAATTTTTCCATAGTCATCTTTGTCAGTGTTTTTGTATTTTTTGTCTATTATAAGAAAACTTTCTTATATTTTTACTTAAAGCATGTATACAAGTAAAAACTTTAGCTCTTTTTCTGGAATTGAGTTTTGTGGATTAGGGGAGGTAAGAATCTAACTTTATTTTTTTCCATATGGATAGTCACTTGCCCTAACACCATTTATTGAGTAGTTCATCATCCTCCTGATTTGATGTTCTACTTTTGTTATAAACTAAATTCCCATATATATGCGGATTGGTTTTTCTACTCTATTCCCAGTTCTGTCCCTTAATAGTTATGTGACCTTGGGAAGCTAGTGAATCTCTCTGTGCCTCTTTGTGATAATAGTACCTACCTCATAGATTGTTGTGAGGATGAAATTAATTAATATGCATGCATAAAGTACTTAAAACATTGCCCAGCACATGGTAGGTACTGTGTGTTAGATATTATTAATATTATTCTGTTCCATGAAATCAATTTTGCCCATTCCTGGGGCAGTAGCACAAGTTTTATTCTATAATAGGTTAGTTCTGTAAGGCTTGTGTCTAGTAAGGCAAATCCTCTCTGCAGAACTTGGCTTTGGACCTGAGGAGAGCACAGATGCTCAACAAGCCTCATTTCTGGGCTGAGCTGTGTGACTAGTTTTAGGGGCATGCCAGGTTCCACTGGTCTCCCACCCTACCTTCAGCAGTCACATCAATCTACAGCCAAGACATCCAGACCTAGTTGAACTAGTCCCCTCAGAATAAACAGCTCACTCAGCCTCTGCTTCCCCCTCCTTGCTTTGCCTAGCAACATTAGGAAAGTAATTAAACAACAAGCTACCAACCTACTTGTTCTTATTTTTCCAGAATTTCTGGGCCATTGCTGAGATTTTTCTATTCTAGGTGGATTTTAGAATCAGCTTGACAAATTTCATGAAAAAATCTTATTAGGATCTTATTACATTTGTAGATTAATTTATAGAGACTGACATCTTTCATAAGATGCCTTTCTGCTATAATGGGATGTACGCATTCCTGAAAAACTTCATGTCCTGAAAATTTGTACACAAAAATAATAGGACTTAGGAGAAAAAGAGAATTAGGGGCACTTCCCTCAAAATCTTTATAGCTCTGACGCCAAGACACTGACCCAGATAATGACAGTCCTAATAGTCCTTGCCCAGTAAGAACCCACTGCATTTGCACCCAGCATCATAGGATCCTTTGTAGCCTTAATCCCTGGTCTCAGGCTTCTTCTTTCCAAATGTAGGGCATTTTCTTAAGATGGATACCAGATTCAGCAAATTAAATCAGATCCACAGCCTAGTCTTCCATCTTTTTTCTTTGGAAACACAGAGAGAAGTGTCTTCAAAAACTTCTTCATCTGCTCTCTCATCCATCCTTGGTGTCTCATTTAACAGCTCTCCGTGTAAACTCAGGACACAATGATTTTCTCCTCTTTTTTCATCCAAAATTTTATGGTTTTAGGTTTTACATTTTTGTACATAATCCATTTTGATGAAATTTTTGTGTAAGCTGTGATGTTCAGGTTGAGATCACCCCCCTTTTTTTCCCCATATTGATGTCTGATTGTTCTAACATCATTTCTTGAAAAGACTATCTTTCCATTGATTTGCTTTTGCATCTTAGTCAAAAATCAAATGGCTATATTTGTGTGAGTCAGTTTCTGAATTGTTTATTCTTTTCCATTGATTTATATATCTCTCCCTTTACCAGTACCTCCCTGTCTTGATTATTGTAGCTTTATAGTAAGTCTTAAAAACAAGTACTATGATTTCTTCAATTTTGCCTTTCCATGTAATTTTTGAAACAGTTTGTCTGAATCCACAAAAATTTCTGCTGGGATTTTGATTGGAGTTGTGTTAAATCTATAGATCAGTCTGGGGAGAAATGATATCTTTATATTTTGTTGAGCTGAAATTCACATAACATAATTAACCATTTTAAACTGTACAATTCAGTGACTTTTATTGTGTTCACAGTGTTGTGCAAACACCACCTGTCGTTTCCAAGACATTTTCATCACCCCAGAAAAATACCCCATATCCATTAATTGTTCCCATACTGCCTTCCCTTCATCCACTGGTAACCACTAACCTGCTTTCTGTCTGTATGCATTTGCCTATTATGGATATTTCATATAAAAGTAGTCATATAATTCGTGACCTTTAATGTCTCGCTTCTTTCTTTTAACATAATGTTTTCAAGGTTCACCCAAGTTGTAGCATGTTAGTGTTTTGATCCTTTTTATGACAGAATAGTATTCCATTGTATGGATATACCACAATTTGTTTCTCCATTCATGTGCTTGGGAATTTGAATGAATTCCACCTTTTGGCTGTCATCAATAATGATGCTACAGACATTTGGGTGCTTGTTTCTGTGTGGACATTTGTTTCATTTCTCCTGGGCATGTACCTAAAAGTAGAATTGCTGGGTCATGTGGTAATTCTGTGTTTAAGTCTTTGAGGAGCCACCAGACTGTTTTCCACAATGACTGCAAAAGAATAAGTGTCTTAGATACATTGAATCTTAAGCTGTGTACGTTATGTCCCTCCATAGTCTTTTGATATACTGTTGAATTCTGTTTGCTAATATTTTATTGAGTATTTTGCATCTACATTCATCAGGGATATTGGTCTGTAATTTTCTTTTTTGGTGGGGTCTTTGCCTGGTTTTGGTATTAGGGTGATGTTGGCTTCATAGAATGAGTTTGGGAGTATTCCCTCTTCTTCTATTTTTTGGAACACTTTAAGGAGAATGGGTATTATGTCTTCTCTGTGTGTCTGATAAAATTCCGAGGTAAATCCGTCTGGCCCCGGGGTTTTGTACAAGGGCAGTCATCACAGAAACTTTCAGTTTTGATCATGCATTATGAACTATAAACAGTCAGTTCAAATATGAATATTCGTTTGATTTTTATACTTGATTTATATGTGGATACCACATTTCTCTCTTTATTATTATTATTTTTAATAAAATGCTGAAGAGGTAGGTAGATGCAAGATAAAGGTAGAAAACAAAGTTTAGTGTTGTAAGAGAGCAAATGTAGATGATCAGGTGTGTGCTTGTAGACTATGTGTTAATCCAAGCTAGACAAGGGCAATAAAAGAACCACGGATGCAGCAGATTTCTCTCAGAACAGTGGGGGGGGGGTGAGGTTCTAAGCCTCACCTCTGTTGATCCCCAATTTCTCACCTGATGGCCCCCCTGCGACTGTGCCTGTCTTAGGTTGTTCCTCCCTTGAGGAATCTTACCCGTCTCTGGCTAACCAGTCATCTTCCGGGGCCATACAGGGAAATGTAAAGTTGGTAAGTGAGAGAGAAGCCATATTGTTTGAAAAGGTTAGCTTTTTACTTCTTTGCAGATTTATGCCCTGTGGCTTCTATGCCCAGCACTTGTCTCGAGGTATCTTTACCACCTGGAGGAATTATGATACTCGGTAAATTCGATATGAGGCACGAATTCTATTTAA